CATGGGGGTGAGTAGAAAATGAAGGCTAATCATGTTTTGGGTGTACTATTCCTTTAAGTTAAGGATAAATACATGCATTTTTAAAAAAAAAATTCTGTGAAACAGGTCTCACTTAAGTATATTTTTTGCTGTGGCCATCTGCGTTTTCTTCACCTCTTTTCTAATTATGACCACTGCTATCCATTTCAATTAAAGGTGACATTCATATCTACCCTTAATATGCAATCTATCCTGAGCCATTGCTCAGATCTACCAGCAGCCTCATAAAGCTTCTCGACAAAAACTAAGTAATATTACGTGTTCTTGGAAAATCCACCTTGAAGTGGCTGCCTCAGTCTAAAAAGCCTACATCATACAGGATTTCAGGGCTGAAAATTTGTAAATTGTCCATCCAGCAAGATGGTAAAGCTGTCTTCTTTGAAGGAATAATAAAGATGGAGGCTCAAACTTTGAAAACTCCATATATGGCTTCTCCATTCTTGCCATGTGTTTTTCAAACATGGAGAATTCTGAACAGGATGGGTACCTTTAGCGGGACGCAAAATTAGTCATTTATACCCTGTGGTGTGATGTCAGAGCCACAGTGCATGCTGGGAGATGTAGTTAGTCTTGTTATATGCAGTTCAAACAAACACCTGGTTTATTACAGAGTACTTTAGAGTCTTAACCTGTGTGTGTGAGTTTTACAATATCTACTGCCCAAATCTGCAGGAATTAAAGTATTCCGGCCCGGGCCGGATTTCCGGCTCGTAGCGATTGTGACCAGATGTCCCCTATTTGCAGGGACAGTCCCCGTTTTAGACCACCTGTCCCCAGCTAAAGCTGTCCCCGATTTGACCGTTTTATGAATGAAGGGGAAATGTTGGGTGTATACTGTTATTATGGTAGATGAGGAGCAGAGTGCACCAGTTTTAAAACCGATGAGGAAGTTGGTTATCACAGCGGGCTGGACACAGCTACCCTGTGTTACCCCGAAATTCCACGTCCTCCATCACTGCTCCACTCAGCTCCAGACCTCCTGCACAAAGCAAAGCCCACAGTCTCCACTGTTCCTCCCCTCTTCCTGCGCTCCAAATTCCTCGGGGCTCAAGGAGAGCATGAGCAATATTATTATTAAATTCATAGGAGCAAAACAAGTGGAAATTAATGCTTAATTTAATATGACGTATTAAAAAAAAAATCCCCATCAGCATCCAGCATATGTGGAGTTTCTGCCCAAATATTTTCTTTTTCTTTTGAATTTTTGTAAAAGGGATAAATAGGATCATACAATCTTTACATTTACATCCTATCAAAAATAATATCAGCTTATTTAAAATAAAAAGCATAGCTGTATCTTTGTACACATGAATAGAAAATTGGTTTAGGATTGTATAAAATATACTCCTGTTAGGTTTAACCATAACTTTATAAAGGACACATTATTTTTATGCCCTGAGAGCTTATTTTTCAATCATCTATATTTATAATAACAAAACATGTCTTTTTGGTGTGGCTGCTTAAGCCGCTCATGCGAATGATCCAGATTTATTGATTTGTTTTAATTGTTATAATTTAATCTGGATTAGGGCTGGGCGATATAGAAAAAAAGCTTATCGATAAAAAAAAAAAAATGCATATTGATCGATATCGATAA